ATAGATTAATATGTAAGATAATGATGGATTTCCTAACATCTAAGTTGTACCCAAATGAAAAATGGGACATAAACAATCCCACACTAATTGATATATGCCATAACTTTGGCCTAAAAGGGTGTTTCTCTCTCTCCTAATCAAGAACAATCACAGATTACTCACACTAAATTAAGAGATTAACAATTTAACATGAATAAACATCAATTAAACATAGTAATATAGGTTCACAACCATCCTTACACATGACCCATTGAAAAAAGAAAACCCCCCGCGGAACCGATTATTGTGGAGCAAGAGACACTTCACTATATATCGTGACTCATAAACACTGTTACGACTGGGATGTGTCTTGGTTGTGGGCGGGTGTATGGTGGACTCTGGTTCCCTTTGGATCATGACAGGACCTCTGGTTGGCTGGGCAGTTGGCAGATCTGGTGCATTTGTGTGGCCCTAGTGAGACGACATTGATCAACGCGTCTTCTCTTGGTGTTCCCAATGATAATTGAGAGCAAATGAGAGACATAGAGAAGCGAAGATGAGATTTTTTGTGTGATATACTTGGTGTGTTGGATGCCACGTAGCTCTTTCATTTTTGCACACTCATTCTACCTAACTCGCTCAGTTCTCTATGCCAGCTTTTTTTCTCTCATCGGTTTCCTTCACCACACACCACTCACCATACCAAAGATGCAATCCATCAATAGAAGGGATAAGGCAGAGATAATGGGTAAATCACTTATTTTCTCTTTCCTCCATATACCCTTTCTTACGATTTACAATCGCTCTTCCCATCCGATCTGATATGCTCTCATTCTTTCGTTTGTTTATGCCTCTCTTTCTCGCCCCCAGTTCCACATTAGCAGACTAGTGCCTAGACGAGAGGGAGCTGGGGGTTTCCGTTTTTTTGACTTCGAGATGGTTCCATAGTGCGATGTGGTGGCTAGGGTGATGATGGTCAAGAATAAGGTAGAGAAAGGTGGGTAATATACATACCAATTGGATGCAAATTGACAAAATCTTTATTGAAAGGACAACCATCATACTAAATACAAGACTCCTATCATCAGCTTCGGATCCCACTAACAACTAACAATCCCATTTCCCCTAATTTTCAGCACCCACAACTAACTACCCTGACTTAGTAAACTAAGACTATTACTTGACTCACTAATTGGCTAGCGGGAAAAACAAACAAATACATTTAGCTTCAGCAAATAAATCAAAACGACACAACAAAGCTGAGAAATTGTATGCAGTGTGTGACCTTTATCCCAACTTTATCCTCCCCTAAACTGAAGCCTTTCAAGACTTCAGTTTACTCCCAAGCAATATGTAGAAACAGCTGCAGTCTGCAGTCTTTAGGACCTCCCTCAATCCAATTTATTCATAGACTCCAAGTTTCCAACATAAATACAGTAACAACGACACAATAGTAGTTTTCCACAATGGCAAACAACGAAAGCCTGCAGCAACAACTTCTAGGAGTTCTCACCTTCAACATTGCACAAAATGCCTCGAGCTCCACTACTTCATTCATCACATAAGCTACTTGATCCAGAATTCTGAAGTGTTCCCATTGCACAACTCCATGTTTGATCAGATTCATCGGCAGGTAAAGCTTGACGGCTACATATTTGTTCTGGCCATGTAAAATTGGATTCTATGTGAACTTGGAGGTCGAGCTATTATCACACAAAATCCTGGTACAGTCTTCCACATTATTCCTCTTTCCCATTTGACTCACAAACCCTCTAAGCAATGCTCGACGCCTTGAATTCTCCTTGTCAAGTAATTGAGTAGAGAAGTTCACTAGCAGTTCATGTTGTACTTTCTCTACTACTTTCACCTCGTTATGTGCAACTCTGCCTCTTTCCTTCTTCAAGCATTCCTCAGACAAGAGTCACCCACAATCCAGTTTGAAGCCCTGTAATTGTAGTATACGCATGTATCTTGCAGCACAAGGGCCTCAAAATCTCCCTCGTAACAATCCATTTGCAGGAAGCAGGTAAGGCTAACCTTATTAAGTGCTGGAAGTGACCTCCGAGCATTGAAGTAGCTATCAAGATAATGGAAGAACCGAGAAAACCACCTAACTCTGAGTTCATGATTGCCCCATTTCACGAATTCCCATATCATAAACTCGTCATGCTTCTCCCTGATAGATGATAGTATAGTGGAACTAATGTACTCTTCAAATGACTCCTTATACTTATCATTAAGCTCCCGAGAGTACTCATGAGAAGGCTTCTGTTTAGCTGACAGTATAGCGGAACTAATGTATCTTCAAACAACTCCTTATACTTATCATTAAGCTCCCGAGAGTACTCATGAAAAGACTTCTGTGTACATAAGTTATAGATAGTTGTGTAAGGCATCATATATTCCTCGAAGTTGATTAACTCTAACCCTTCAACATACTGAAACCCCACAACTCCTTGGGAATATCTCATCAATCTATACATTTTTACACCATATCTAGCCTTCATAAACTCTTTGAACCTGCTTCTGCAAAAACCAGTCTGTACCAAGCCAGCTATAATGAAACACTTCTCAGCTCTCCATACATGCAGCAACTCATATAAATTCTTTTTGAACTTTGTATACTGACCTTCCTCCCCTGCAACCACAAACCCTTGTGGTTGCATTATATAACCCTCCTTAGCTAGTGTACTGTATGCCCAATCAATGGTATATATTGCTAATGTAATTGCTTCTCCATATGTTTCTAAGAAACTCAACTCCTCATCACAACCATTCCATATCAGCATGATCAATGTTGGGAGAGCCTCTAAGTTGCATGTAAAACCATGAGTCACATTAGACAAAACATCTTTGCCCACCAGTTCTTTCTTACTACAATTACACTCCCATACTCCTTATACTCAGCCAACACAAACCTTCCTCTATTATTGGTTCTTGAACATGCAATATACTAGGTAAATTCTTTCTCAATTGAGTCCTTGAATTGCTTAAACTTGAGAAATATGTTTGAGTTTGCTACTAAAATAACCACCCATTGTTTTATACCGAGTTCATCAATCACATTCAGGATATACCTCTTGTCACTATTTGATGATGATTTGAAAAAACCACAACGATTTGTATGCACCAGTTGAGCCTTTTGTCTAATACTCCTTTGGCTTCTCCTTTGGAAGAACCTTCTATGTTGTTTACCAAACTAGAAAGTGGAGCATGTTGCTGCAAGTCCTTTAAACATAAGATGCTACACTTCATTTGTGATTACATTAGTATGGGAATGTACTTCTCCTACTGCTATCCTTGTTGTTGGTGTTGTGGTTTCAACAGTTGAATCTTTATCTTCCACTTCTTGATTAGAAGTGCTTCTACCTATTTCAATTACGCTGCCATTTTCCTGCTTCACAGTGCATTCAGAACACCACCCTTCATTGTTCTCTATCACGTGATCTTGGAGAAACGTCATGGTGCTGTGATTATCACCATCAGATACATTTCCTTCCACTTCATCCATAATCTCTAGCATCCGATCTTCCACAACATCCATATTGCTGTAATTATCACCATCTGCTACATTCTTTTCCACTTCATTTGCTTTTATATTCTCTTCCTCAACATGGGTCATCAACAACAAATTATCACCATCTGCTACATTCTTTTCTACATCATTTGATGTTATATTCTCTTCCTCAACATGGGCCATCAACAACATATTTTCTTTCATATCAAATTCATAATCCGCATTAGAGCAGTGTGCTTGTTGAGTGTACCAAACAGGACATTCATTTCTGAAATGACCGAACCTATGACACTTAAAACACTCTATTGTATCTTGATTCAATATTCTACCATCTCTTCCTCAATCTCTTTCTTGAAAGTTCCCTCTGCCCTGGCCTCTTCCACATCCCTCAATGAAATCATGAGTAATCTTCGATGTTTGATCTGCCACAAGTGACCTTTTGCCGAACTTTTGGTCATGGACAAGTAATGAGCTCTGAAGAGCATCAACATAAATAATTTCAATATCCTTCGACTCCTCAATTGAGCAGACTATGTAATTGAATCTCTCTGTTAATGTTCTCAATATTTTCTCAACAATCTTCTCATCAGACATTGACTCACCATAATTGCTCATGGCATTCGCAACCACCATTACCCTTCCAAAGTACTCATTTACGGTTTCCTCTTCCTTAATCTCTAGGATCTCAAACCTCCTTCGAAGAGCCTGCAACCGAGCCTTCTAAACTCTAGCACTGCCTTTGTATTTGATTTTCATCGAATACCACGCAGCCTTAGCAGTATCCTTCTTAGTAATAGTCTTCAAAATGTCCTTGTCGATTGAGCTAAAGAGGTAGTTCTTAGCTTTAAGTTCTTTCAACCTCAAGTCGTCAAGGGTTTTGGTTTGAACTGCAGAAAGAACTACTCCTGTTGTTGGCTCTGTAAAACCTTCACTCACTACTTCCCAATATTCCTCGGATCGGAGCAGATTTTCCATTAGAAGTCTCCAATAATCGTAATCCTCATCAAACTTGGGAATAAAAACTGAAGTGAAGTCGATGTTCTCACCCATGATCTCACAACATACACCTCTCACAACAATGATTAATCTCACCAAACCTCTCGTGTTTCCCTCATACCCAGAAGCAACTTTCAAAATCAATCAATCACCAAGCTTCTTGTTTCTTTTACCCGCACCCAGAAGCAATCCTCACAATTAATCACTCATGTTTCACAATCTCGGTTACAATTTGCTTTGGCTCTGATACCACAAGTACAAACCAATTGGATGCAAATTGACAAAAGCTTTATTGAAAGGACAACCAGCAGACTAAATACAAGACTCATATCAGCAGCTTCGGATCCCACTAACAACTAACAATCCCATTTCCCCTGATTTTCAGCACCCACAACCAACTACCCTGACTTAGTAAACTAAGAATATTACTTGAATCACTAATTGGCTAGCGAGACAAACACACAAATACATTTAGCTTCAGCAAATAAATCAAAATAACACAACAAAGCTGAGACCTTGTATGCAGTATGTGACCTTTATCCCAACAGGGAAGCCCGAAAGCGATGCGGCTTGACTGCCGGTCTATTTCCTTTCCCATTTATTGTTCAACCAGATCTGTATGTTCCGGTGAGTTCCCGATCTCATTTTTTGTTCCTTTCAATTATACTCTTTATGGATAATGATTCCCTTCTTTTTCCCTTTTCACTTGCAAATTTGTTTCTAAGCCATATTGATCAATGTTCCGCACGATTATCGTGGCCAGAGACATTGACAAAAGTATTCGCTTCCGATGGTTCCATCATCTATTTTCTTCCCCTGCCTCGACCCTCTGCTTTCTATACCAGTTTTCTCTCTTCTTCTTTTTTATGTCTCAATCTTTTGTTTGATGCTTTTGAGGGCGGCCCTGTGTTTTTGGAGTGACAATCGGTTTGAACTTTGGATCGATCGAGGAGGGTAAGCAGATCTTGATTTGATGTCTCTGATTCTATAATGGGTTTTTTGTCCTCGGTACTTGATTCATTCCTCTGTTTCTTTAATTTTACAGCTAAAATCTTACGTCTGGCGACAAGCAGATCCAGGTTTTGAGAAGATGTAAGTATGGAGAATTGCCTGTTGTTAGCGTTAATTGAACTCTTCAATAAAATTTAATGTTTCAGGTCTAAATGACCGAAAAATTGAGCTCCTTAGTTTATCTTCTCTCTTTCTCAGATCTGCGAAGGCTAGCGGCGAGTGGTTTCTAACAGAGCAGTTTTCACTGGTGTTGGTGGTCGTCACGACATGTGAGAGACGGAAATCCCAAATCAGCCATTTTTTTCCGTTCGGGTTTATGTTGATGGTGGTTTTGTGGTTGATGTGTAGGTAAGGACTATCAAAGTGATGCAACGTTCAGATCAAGTCGTCAAGGCGAGGAGAGTGGATGATCATGGACCTCTAATTCAGGATAATATGTTATAGTTGCTCATATTCTTCCCGATATCAAGCTTCATGATCAAAACTTTTTTCTTTCTGTTGCAACGATTGTGATGTTATGATTACTTTTTATTTCATAAGGTGGCGGGTTAATTGCAATGGATGGTTTAGAAAGAAGGGAACCAATACAAAGTAGTCCACCAAATCTAGAACATTTTTTGGTGGTGTTGCTATATCGCCATTGCTCCACCCTCATGGTCATCAGTCTGTCTCCTTTCCTTCTGTGATATGCTCATGATTTCCTCTGCAGATTTGATATTGTGCAGCACTGGATTATAAATTAGATTGGTTGCTGTATTTCATATTCTTAAGGCAATGAAAAAAGAAGTTGTTGCACAGTATCTGTTTTGTGTAACATGCTTAGCCCTGGGTGATTTTGGACGATGTTTCAATCGTCCAAGGATTTCTCCATGAAATATCATTAGGAAGTTTCATTTACTCTTGGCAGTTCAATGTTTCAACATTAAAGATAATTGAATCGCAGTTATGGTTCTGCTTGACTTCTCATAAATAATAATGCAGCTATGTTGCTTATATCCCAGCATTATCCTATTCACTTTCATTCTCTTTATTTATGGTGGCTATTGTTGTTTGCCGATGGAATAAAATTAAGTTCAATTTGTGGGTAGAGCGAGACCATGTAACAAGTCTATCAAATATTCAGTAACAACACTGATGCTTTGATCAATGCCCCAAAAGTGTTGTATTTTCACATATATATATATATGCATTTTCCCAATTTTGTATTCTTTAGTTATCAAGTTAAGTTGTACTTATTCTATCAAGGTGGACAAATAACATTTACCATAATGTTTTGTATGTCATCATTGTGCTGCTCAGATGGTTCATATTTACCTATGATATTCATTGGTGTTTATGTGTATTTTGATAGTCATAGTGCTGCTTATTTTATGTATAACACTTTCTTATTATGGTGTGAATTTTGATTCCCAAATAAGTACACCCCAATAATCCCACATCCCGGCACCGAGCGCGGGCAATGTGAATTAGTAACCAATCTAAAAGTTAAGGTTTATCTTCCTAAATAACAAGAGAAGCTGAAACATAGAGAGAGAAAGTGTGTACCAATGGGAAATTCATGGATAGATCTTTCTTCTCCTTCTTGCTATGACCACCCTTCTTGAATCTTGGGAAGTTTTGTGGTTAGGATGAAGAAGAAATCACGCAAAACCTCTCCAAACTCGTCACTCTCACTCTACAACTTCTCTTTCTTTGTTTTCTCTCGCTAGGATGCCCCTTTTCTCAATCAACCCCATCTATTTATAGACCCACACAGGTCAAAGTTCCCGGCCTAGAGTTTGTGGCCGTAAACTTTGACAAGAGGTTATGAACCTTTGATGGGAATGAAAAGATCTCAGCCTCGACCCAAGATTTCGCGGTCGTGAATTTTGCAATGCTGTCAAAGCCGAGCCGGAGTATGACCCGGTAACGTGAACGGCTCGGTCATTAATGGTCCAGCCGGCATTAGACCGTTAAAAACCGTTTGAGAACCGGTACCTAATAAACAGTCATCTGTAATAGACTAATAGTAGACACTTCTTAATCATGGTAACCCACAAGTAAATTACTCTCTTAAACCATTCTAGAACATCAGTACTGAAAGATCTAAAATTCAATTCCAAACCACCACATTGTTCCAAAACAGAAGCAATATCACACGAGTCTGAACAATAAACAAGAGTCTTAAACATGGAAGCCAATCAAAGTCTCAAACTCAAACAACTATCAAATACAACTTCATCATCATTTCATTCACCATCACTAGCATCAGATGAATCACTACTTGAAGACGCCATCCCAATTGCTGTGCTACCATCATGTCCATCATCATCTAATAATTAAACAAAAATATGTTAGAAATCATGTGTTAAAAATAGATCAAAGTTGAACATTCTTCATTTACTAATAATATGTCAATCCAACCTTCATTGCGACCTCTTTTCCTACTTGTAGTTCCACTTCCTTCAGGAACGTCATTAGCATTATTATCACCCATAGCTTGCATCAACTCATCAAAGCTAAGATCTGGAGTTGGATCCTCTGCCTCATCCATAACCCAAAATTCAGTGGCATTAATCCATTCATAGTCAAATGGATCAACCAAGAACTTACTTTTTCTCGTACGAGACCTATGAATGATTAAATACAAGTCATCTACAAAAGCTTGAGTACCACTATCTGGATTTGGAGTACTCATCTACAAAAGATTAATTGAATCAGTGGAAGCAGTAGGTTGATTCTCTACCAAATCAAACATTAAAATAAAATGTCAATTGAATCAATGACTGTAAACACAATAGAAGGTAAAACTAGCTTAATCTTATTGAATGGAAAAAACAAATATAAAAACAATTTGTAAGCTGCAAACCCGTCTCATCTTTCTAACCACTAACCCACATCCTACATATCAACAACTCCTTCTAACTACTGCCGACTCCTGGGACCACACAACTGCTTTTTTTGTAGCCAAGCTTTCTCAACAAATAGACATTAAACAATTAAATTCCAAGACTCAAACCAATTTGTACCCAACTTATTCCAACAATTTGTACCCCAATTAAATTCCAAGAATCATTGGAAGCAGCCGCACAATTAGTCAATTAATTCACCTTGCCGCCGGTGGGAGATGGTGCGGAGGAGAGGCCGCTGGTGGGAGATGCGCTGGAGTAGAGACGTTCGGTGGGAGCTGCAGAGTAGAGGCCGCCGGTGGGAGATGGTGCGGAGGAGAGACGGCCGCAGCAGGGGAGATGCTTTGGAGACGACGCGGTGGAGTAGGTGAGCTGCTATGAGGATGGGGACGACGCCGACGGGAAGCTCCTAAAACGGGGACCGGCGCCGAGGAGGAACGACGGCGATGGAGACGGGGAACGGCGGCGATGGAGACGGATTTGCCGATTTGGAGTCGAAAGCCTTGTCTCCACGAAGAAGAATGAAAATTAGGGATTTAGGGTTCTGCTTCTACAGAACAGGCCGACCTCGACCCCTTTAATTTTCCATTTTTCTGTCTTTTTTTTTTAATAAACCAACCGGCCGAATGTAAAAAAACCGGACGACCGGCTCGAGCGGTTAACCGCTTCGGCCGCTCGCCGGCCGCCCCAGAGAACCAGTCCGGCTAAATAGCTTATCCGAGCCGGTTTTTTGCCCGGTTGGCGGTTTTGGCGGCTCGGCTCGGTTTTCAAAGCATTGGAATTATGACAGGAGGCTACAAACTCTTGAGAAGGGGAAGTTCGCAACCATGGTACAAGAGTTTGTAGCCTATATCTTTTCGTCGTCAGGTGGTGAACTCATGGGGGAAGTTCGTAGCCTAGAACAAATGTTCGCAGCCGCAATCTTTTTGATGCCCTAGTGAACGTTTCACGAGGTCCAGCTCGCTAGGCCGCATGGCGGGCCGCGAGACCTTCTGTACTCATCGTGGACGGCCTCTTGGAATTCGCAGGCATGGGGAGAAGTTCTCTGCCGTGATCTTTTGCCTCCGTTCGTGAACTTTGGAAGTCCTTGCTTTCCACCTTCTTTCCGCCTCTCAAACGATCTCCGATTGGCATGAAACTTGGCGTGCCTCTTCCTTATCGCACGAGGACCTGAAAATAAGAAATAAAGACAACATAGTCTAGAAAAGGATGAGAATAAACAAGATTCATGCCAAATGACAAAGTAATAATAGAAATGTGCTAAATCTTAGAATTTGGACAATACAAGATTCATGCCAAATGACAAAGTAATAATAGAAATGTGCTAAATCTTAGAATTTGGACAATAGGAAGCAATATAGCACAAAATCGATCTCAACTAATAAATATTGATGATTATTGAATGAAAACACATATGAAATGAAGGCTTTTAACATCAATTTTAGAAGTTATCAATTATCTAAGCTAACAACCCGACACCATTAATTAATATATATAAATGTGAAGTTTGGTTACTGTTGCCTAATTATTTTCATTTTGATACCCATATTTAATTCAATCACAACTTAGTCACTATAATGTACATTTTATATTTTGATACCCCAAATTTAATACAAATGTGAAGTTTGGTTACTGTTGCCTAATTATTTACCCACATTTAATTAAATCACAATTTAGTCACTATAATATACATTTTACATTTTGATACCCCAAATTTAATTTTAATATATAATCATTGAACAATTACGTTTTATGAGATTTTCGTACCTACAACTTTTATATTTACATATTGGTCCAATGTTTAGATTTCACTTGAATCCATGAATCCAATCCACCATAACATAAAAGTATAAATTTATTTTGTACAATACAAGATGTTGTATCACTCAAACTGTAGGAGAAGATTCGAACATTTTGTATTTTCTCATTACATTAATCATTAAATAAATGATAAAAGAGAGACGACTCTAAAATATTAAAAACCGGATTTATAAACTCAATTAGTACATTGACGGGTACTAAACAAACTTCTATTAACTACATGTAACAAAATATGCGACATCTACATAAGCAAGTGTCAATAAATGGCTGCGGTGAAAAGGGTTGATTGTTGTATTGACGTTCAACTAAAAGAATTGGTCAAAACCTTTCCATCATCTACTTCCTTTTCGTTTCATTTTTCACTCGCCTTCCATAACCTTTTCTTTATTTCTTTCTTTGCCTTCTTCGTCTAACCCTAATTAATATACTATTTTTATTTATTCTAACCACAAGTATAAACGGGTCCATACACGGCTCACCAACAGTCTAGAGAACTAATAATTGAACCATGAACCACTAACTTTTTCAGCTCAATGTCCATTCCAATAAAAAATATATATATAGGGTTATTACTTATTAGAAAGTCATTTTCTACTATGGGATTCGAGGGCGTGAAATTTTAAGCGAGTTACAGTTTATATTCCTTTTGCATCTCTCTATAGTTTTTCTTTTTCAATCGGGCAAGAATTTTCAACAATTATACATGGAATGTTTGGCTAGGTATCTACACATATCAAATAAATAGTTTTCATTTTTCTATAAAAAAGTAAATAACTATCATCTTAATTTTTTTTGTTGTGTATTACATTTTGGTACCTAAACTTCTAAAGTTCTACAAATATGTTTAATTTTTGTATGTGTAATTAAAACACTCTCGAATAAATGAGTATCCATACCCAACTCATACACATTTAGATTATGGAAGTAAATATCAAAACCCTACCCAAACCCATCTACAAACTTCCGAACTCATATATACGTCAACTATACCTTACCTATAATCAATGGGTCTACTTGAGTTTAGATAAATATCATTTACTAGCCAAAAATTTCAAATTT